AACAATTGATAAAAAATGATGGTTTGCCTATATCACTTTATTTGCCCCTATTCCAACAGATTTTAAGTCATGATATATAATGACAATGTTAATTACTGTAATAATCTTTACAATCTATTCAAATAAATTATATTGTTTTACTATAAATATCCATGCCACAATCCAGTTTGGCAACCAACTCTTCAAAATGAAAATTTTTGTTGTATCCTTATTTGTGCTATTTGCAATTTACCAAGCTCATGCAAGTGGGTTAATTAGTGATTTGGCTGAAAATCAAATCCCTGATGCTGAAACTGAATCAATTGATTTAAATGAACGTGAAATTGATGAAGAATTGGAAAATGAACTAGCCAAGGTAATACAAACAAAAGCACAATTTTTCACAATTATTTACTTGATTGTTTTAATACAGAGAGGAGTAATGAAATGGATCACCAAACTCTTCAGCAGCAAAAAAGGTATCAGTAAAGCTCAATGTGGACTTTGTGCTGTTGCCCCAGCAACCAAAAGATGCCAAAGAGTCAAAAAATTGTGCCTGATGAAACATAAAATTATCATTCCTTATAGAAAAGTTTGAACAATAATATATGTCAATAAAATTGAGATTTGAATAAATATTATCAAGCATATTAAAAAAAATAGTGTTAAAAATATATTAATTTTTCAAATATTCACTTCTAATTTTTTAAATTTCAACTGCTCCATTTATTAAATATATTTTCATATAAATAAATATATTATAACATTCTTTTCGAATTCTCTTACTATATAAGGGACAAGTTTCCCCAAAGAAGGGGACAAGTTTTCCCAAAATAAGGACGAGTTTTCCCAGGGACGTTCTTGCATTTAAACAACGAACAATTGTACACTTTGAATAGATTCATTCTAACGTATTCTAACGAATTGTAATATAAATAGCAGCTTGCATTTGTTTGCAATGTCATATCATCTTCATCATCCTTATTCCAACAATCATATCTTCCATCCTGAAAAGTCCATGCGGGTCTACATACCCTACCGCAAATGTATTGTTTATCATTCTGACAATAAACGTTAGTTGCATTGAGAGGAAGAGATTCTGAATTAAGAATTCCGTAACAATCTTCATCACTCATATCAAAGCAATTTTCTTCAAAATCACAAAATCTTGAACTACTCATACATTGTTTATTCTTGCATAATCTTTCTCTTTGATTGATTGATTGATTGATTGAATTGTTTTCATTGCATATACTGATTTATTCAAAACTAAACATACACACACTTACCCTACTCCACACTCTCTATATGCTATTATTTAAATAGAGACAAAAATAAAATGTTACTAGCTCTAAAAGGCCTACAATCTTAAAATTTCAAAATTTCATACAGCAATTGATCTCATCTGATCCGTCTAAGCAATCATCTATGTAGTTGCAAACAAGGAAATTTGAAATAGTTTGATTGTTTGTTAAGCATTCATAGTGGAGAGAATTGTCAGTGGGACATTGAGTTTCATCTTCATTTGAGAGACAGTCTTGAATTCCATCACAAACATAAGCAATATTAATGAATGTACCATGAGTTGTACATAAAAATAATTGATAATTTAGCCTATTTGCCTCATGATGATAATTTAAACTTTCACCAAGTAAAACTTCAACTTGAAGAGTTTATTATGAAAAAGAAATTATTTTTGTAAACGTTATTTTTTTTTTCTAACTAGAAACCTTTGCTTTGTTTTTTTTGACAAAAAAAATGGTGAAATTTTTGCGACCTTAGGAGACATTGAACGTGAATTGAATCTATTATTTGTACTGAAATATAACCATCATCATAATCATAATCATAATCATCATTATAATTATCATTCATGAAATTCTATCTAGAAAAGTAATAGCTATACTTGAGAATTTTTTATGGATGTACCCCAATCCCAACTCAGTCCTTGACCTTGGTCTATTTTTATCATTATTCCTAAGCCTATCATGTAATGAGTTACCTTTTCAATTTGAAACAAACATTTGGTAAATCTTGCTCCATATACTTTAATAGTAGAAATTTTTCATTTCACAAAATAAACCAAATTGTTTAATATCTATCTGAGGTGTTAATGGGCGATAAATGAACATAAAGTAACATATATGATCAATTATTATTGGATTGGAAAATTTGTTACAATCAAGAACTGTAAATATTTGAATTTTAGCGGTAAATTTCATTTAATCTTTGAAATTAACCTTTTCTATCAGATTTTAAGCATTTGATACTAGTTCTATAGACAAATGCACCCTTTCTACGGAAAAGGAGATAATAGAAGATAATAGATTTGGTAAATTTTGAAATAGTTTACATTTCCCTTGTTAAAATACAATGTTCGATGTTTGATGAATTTTGAAAACAAGTAATTTTCCCCAAAACATAATGCCAGTCTGAAATATCGGAAGTTATAACAGAGTTCCATAACTAAATCCAAAGAAGGTACATATCTTTTGTATAGTAATATATGACATTTTTTGTACTGTCATGTAGACATTTGCATCATTATACTGAAATTCACCAATAAACTCGTTCGGATGACTATGACTCTCATTTATGTAAATACTCTCCAAGCTTATTAAATTATGTAACCTAGATTCTTTATGAATAGAATATTTATCAATGGTTAGCTATTGAAAATTTCTCCATTAATTACTTCTTGGAACATTTTTTTGAAATTCTGGATTGTAGAACAATAGTCTATTATTCAATGGATTTAAATCACAGCTTATATCATTGTTTAATAGTCTACATTGGTGGAGAGCAGGAAATTTGATCTATAGAATAAAACATTAAACAACTCAAGCGATATTAAAGGATTATAGAGATTGCATTCAAAAAGGTGAACATATTTTTTCTATAGTGAAAGTACTAAAGGACAGACAGCAGCTCCCCCTATTATTCAAAATAGTACCTGATCAAGTTGTGGATGCTCGAAATATTTGGTATAATGAACAGAATATGACATGTTTAATTGTTTACACATGAAAGCTGTTACATATACTCTGTTCTCTTCAGTCAATTTTGCTGTTGGAAAAATTCCATATGTTTTTGATACTGCTAGATAGTTGAACTTTTTAATGGGTGGTGGCAAGGGAAATAGACAAAAAGACAAAAATGAAGAAAGTAGCAAAAATATAAAAAAATATCTCTTACAAGAAACATTTTTCTTGAAATACTTTAAAGTTGTGATGAGAGATCCTCCATTTTCTAATTTATAACTATAACGTAAATTTCTGTCTTAAGTTTGTTGTATATGAATTTTTGAGATGAGGACAACTCAGTCACCTATTTCCTGAATAGGCTGATTGAAATTTATTAAGATGAGTTGTTTATATTATATAAACTCTTCAAAACAGATTTAATCATCGTTCAAGTGAACTGATCAAATTCAACCAGCTCAGAAATCTGGGTCAGGTTGTCCTTATCATTGAAAACTCTATTTTTTAAGGCTGACAGGAAACAATTTTTGATTATATTATCGCCACAGTTAAGGTAAACCATGTCAACTTTTTCAACTAGATTTTTATAATAGATGAAAGAGTATAGTGGATCATATCCAAATTCTCCACAAAATTGACTCAATTGCAAAGGAGACTGGTAACCGTATTTCAAAAACCAGGATTCAGTATCTTCATAGTCATTTGAATCAATCATCTTTATTTCTCCTATAATTGATTCTTTCTCTTCTAAGATATTAGTTAGTTGAAATTTTGCTTGTTCAAAATTTATTGATGCTTGAAAGACACATAATATAATTATACATTTCTTAATACATCAATTGTTAAGGACATTACCATTTCTTATTTTGCTACAAGCTGGGCTGGCAACATAGAATTTAACTTCATGAAGAGTTGAAGTTAGTTGACAATCTGTAATTTTAACACTTTTCCTCTTTTGACAATTGCTAATAAAATGTGTGACGTCATTGGCCCATCTCTTCTCGCATTTATGTTTAACTGCAAATTTTGATACTGCATCACAGATCATTTTGCAGGCTAGAGACAATTCTATTTCGTTAGCGAAAGCGGGTGCAATAATACCATATGATTTTGATTTGAGTGTAAATGGTGGAACAGACAAACCAAACATTCTTAAATAGGGATAAAAAGCTCCATTAACAGAATTATTAATAATTAAAATGTCTGTTGAATTAAAAAGAAATTTGAGAAATTTTTGAAAATTTTCATAGATTTAATTATCTTGAATTAGGATTTACCTTTAAAATCCTGAAAAGTACAAATGAAATATCTAGTTGAAACATTCCTTTCAATTTCAACAAGTTTAAAGCTGTTTGATTGTTTGTTTGAGATGAATTCAATTCCATTATTTTCTATTTTTAATGATGTTATACTACAACAAATAAATTTGCTTTGGTTGCATATTGCCTTTGATAGGAAAGAATTTTTAATAATGGCGAAATTCTTTTCATTTTTCCTTAAAAACAATCGATAAGCATTGTTTTCCACTTGTGTTGCGAAATAATCTATATTAAAAATGTATTGGTAACATAAATCCATATTTAAATATACTAATTTCGGATTTTGTTGATCAATGCCCAGAGTTTTTTTGCTTCTCTACCAACTAAACCTTAATTTTAGACCTACCCAATCGTAAATCAATTCAACACCAGACAAAAAATTATGGGCATTTTTCAACAGCCTATTTGAAATTGAAGAAATTTCAACACTAAATCAATCTGTTCAATTTTATGACAATTAATTAAAAAATTGCCAATTCCTCTAGCCATATTTCCATTTAAAAGACAGCCTTTAAAATGAATTTCTACCAGAGTAGGAATACAACTATTGAGTCCTTTCAAAATAGTTAATAAACTCTCTTTTAAATCTTTTTCAAGGAAAAGTCACCTTTTTGTAAAGAGGAGCACTCCTTTAGTAAATCTCCAACACTCTTGCTGTTATTTCCATTCAGATTGCAATTGCAAAAGTCTATAGCTTTAAGTTGAATTGATGATGTTAAAAGCGCTTGGCAAATTTTGGGTAAAAAATGTCCAACAGCAGGATTCCAACCTAAGTGAATTTTTTCAATTTTTGAACAGTGAATAAGAAGACTTGATAGGGTTTTGTAGTTATTCTCGCTAGAAAGAGTGTATTGGAGAGAAGCTTGGTAGCTGGTGGGTTAGGGTTAGGGTTAAACATATAAAGACTTTTGAAGAGGTACATGATTTTTATCATCTAAAAGTTGTTATAAAAGGTTTTAATGCAGCTGAACGAAATGTTTGTGAAGAGAATTGTCTTCCATTTCCAAACTGTGCTGGTTATATAATACATGAGAGTAGGTGTAAATATTTCATTTCTGGTTATAAAAGCTACAGTACAAGTAAGCACTTGCTGAAAAATATAAATGTTCAGCTGGAAATGGTATTGCAATGAAGGAAACTGCAAATGTTTTAGACTGTAAAAATGAATGCAACAAGTTAGATAATTGTGTTGGATTCTCATTCAATAATCCTGGCCTAAACTCTAACCCTTTAAATTTTGCAACACAATCATTTTAATCATTTGGGTACCACGTTGCTGGCGTCGAACAAGTTCAAGATCATGCATAAAATCTGTATATTAACTAATTCATTTATCTTCTCATTCTCATCTTTCTCTTTAGAATTGGATGAGTATGAATTCGGTATCCAATCAACACATACTGTTGTCTAAGTGAAAGACAATTTTATCATTTTGAATTTTCAAGCTAGAGGCGAAAGGAATAACCAATCAACGATTGGTTGTCAATCTCTAACTCTTTGGCAATAATTTAAAGGGAAATGAAACAGTGAAGATGTATACAATACAATTCAGAATAAGGAGAATTATCGATTCAGAACGTTATGTTCCGTTATGCTTAAACGAATTGAAATTTTTACAATCTTCATCATAATCTATAGGCATTTATTAAAAAAATATTTTCTTACATCTTATTTAGACACGTGATCTTCTTTTTAAACCGTGTACCACAAATCAACACTAAAAAATGTATTTATTCTTTGTTTTAATAAATGGCTTCTGTTTTGTGTTCAACTTTATTGTTCATAATAAAAAAGAACTTGAAATATTCTCTTATTCCTTATTCAACTGCTGAATGCAAAAAATTCAATGTCTAGTATTCATGTAAATCTATAAAAATTTCTATCTATCTGTCTGTTGATGATGTAATAACATCGGTATGTAGAGAGACACTAGTATTCTCAATAGACAGTTTTCATATGATGTTGTTTGGAAGATGAGATACTTGAAAAAGAAAAAATTATTAGGTACGATCAAAAAGTTTCAAAGTATGTGTTTTTTTTCATTAGAAATGTTTGATGAAATGTATTAATTTTTGTGTATGTTATAGCCTATAGTCTACTCTACAAATGTTAATAATTCAATTTTTAATAGTCCCCTCCTTTCTCTATGCAAGCGTGCCATTTGCTAGGAAGTAGATTAAGGCCATTCTGGTAAAAGGAGGTTAGTTTTCTCCTTATAAAATCTTTTACATCTTTTTTTAATTGCTCCAAATTTTGGTATCCTCTGATATGGTCCTTCAATCTTCCAAAAAGATAATAGTCAGAGGGAGCCAAATCAGGGCTGTATGCTGGGTGAGGGCACAATGACCACCCTTGGTCTCTTATGAAATCTGTTGTGTAGAGACTTGTATGTGGTCTTGCATTATCATGCTGCAATATTATTTGTTTTCCAGGTCTAATTCTATGTAATCTCTTCCTTAGTCTCTTTAGGGTCTCAACATATTGTATTGAGTTAACTACCTTACCATACTCCATGAATTCTATGTGGATTAAACCTGAACAGTCCCAAAAAACTGAGCACATTAGTTTTTCAGCTGACTTAGTCAGTTTAAGCTTCTTTTCAAGTGGAGATGAGGTGTGCTTATATGTCAAAGAAGACCTTTTAGATTCTGGATCATACAGGTGTACCCAGGTTTCAATTTTTTCTAAAAAGTCTTTTCCTTCTGCTGTGTATCTTTGGAGTAGCTCTGTATAATGACTCACCCTTATCTGCTTCTGGTCCATATTGAGAGCATAAGGAATCCATTTTGCACAGATCTTTCTGTACCCCAGCTCCTTTATAATTTTTCCTACAGCCTCTTGACAAATTTCTAATTTTTTGGCAATTGCTGTCTGAGAAATGGTCTGACCTTCTCTGATAAGCCAGTCAATTGTTTCTCTGCTCTGACTTGTTACAGCTGTCCTTGGATGACCAGATCTTGGCAAGTCTTCAAAATTTTTTCTTCCTTTTTTATGTCAGATACCTACCTTCTTATGGAACATTCACTCAGAGTTGCATCCCCTCAATAGCTTTTTAACCGCTTATAAATTTGTTTAGGAGAGACCTTCTCATTCACTAAAAATGCAATGATTTGTCATTGATCAGAACATGTGCACATGACTTGCAGTTGCTTACACCAAAATAAATTTGTAATGGCTCAACAGAATTGAATGAAAGTTTGCACGATGAAAGTTTACTAATTTACTAAGATATTTGGAAAGTATCAATGATAGTAGTCGAGCTGTTTTAAAATTACAGCACATAGTTTGAAACTTTTCGATCGTACCTAATATATAAACTGATAAATGCTTAAAGATGATTGACTTTCTCATATATAATTTGACCATTTGAATGGCTGTAAGAATGAATAGGCTGTTTTATTGGATTATGATACTCTTTGCAAATTGCTGTAATTCACAATAAGATAAATATAAACATGTGAATATTGCTTACAAACAATTTTCAAAGATGTCATCAATGCTATCTACAACTTTTGATTATTTAGCTGTTAATGGAAGATTTCAACCTGTTTATGTTAATTATAAAAGTTGTAGTCATACTCAAACTACAGGAAACATCATGGTTTCTTATTCAATTTGAGAGATCTTATATTATTGGAACCATAAGAATTGTAAACAGGGCAACATCACTGGAAAAACTGGATAATTTAATTGTTGGCACCAAATTATCAAGAGATATTTCAACAATAGATGTCAATCAATTCAAAACGTTTTTTTTCCTTAACAATACTGTTGATTCCGCTCGTTCTAAAGCAATAAATTAGAATGACACACTGCATTACGCAAGTACAGTTATTTTTTATAGAAAGATACATGACGTGTTAAATCTATGTCAAATTGAAATATGGTGTTTGCCAAATATTGCTAAAAATAAACAAGCAACCGGAAGTAGTCATCATCCAAGCATATCAAATCATGCAGTCACGCTTGATGGCGAAGTTAATTGGACATTTGGCAAAAGTGGTATAATGTGTGTTCATACATCATATACTGCTAACCAAAATAAGAATTATGTATATATTTTCACTAATAAACCTACTAAAACAACAATTAAAATGTGAATCTCATTTTTAACACTTATGTTTATCATTTCCTATATTAAAATAGGCCCTTGGCCGTTTTCTACAGGTCCCGAAATTTCCTTATCTCCTCTGCTAATAGTAAGACTAATCTGGCTTTGATAGATGGAGAATTTAAGATTATCATAATTATTTTCATAAATAAAATTCTAACTTTTTCTATAAAAATTGAATGATTTTCAACAACTATAATAGAGATCTCTACCCGTTTTCTATAAAATACATAGTATATACAATTTGAATTATTTAGAATGAGACTGTAAGAGTTTGCCTCTTGACCTAATTTCTAATATTTAATCTTTTATTGATGCTCAATACTGTTGCCAAAGTAAAGAATTTAGTGTAAAAATTCAAATATTTGTATGGGGTTTATTAATTTCTAAGCAAAGAGTCTCCTTTAATACAATGTTGTGTACAAGTTGTTTTTCTTCAAATTGATCAATTGTTGAATAAATATTCCAATTGATTGTATATCATTCATTTGAAAATGAAAAGTAAGAACTGAGTATCTTTTCCAATAGACATAAAATTTTTTTCTCTCTGTCTAATAGAAAAAACAAATAGTGTTTGTTTTTCATGATTGAAATTATCTTTAAAATACATGATAAGAAATATTTTCAACTCTTAGATATCCTCTAAATGACAAATTTTGTTTGTGTAAGAAACAGCAGGCAGTACAAACATGCTTAATACATTTTAGAAAATTGGAATTTT